GACATTTAATTTCCAAATTAGTTCAAAAAAAATCAAACCAGCAGGAAATGAGACCTGTTCCATTGACTTACACCAATTTTTGCAACAGGTTTATTTAAAAAAGAGGGAAAACAACAGAACAGAGACATATGCCAGGAGACATCTAAGTTTGAAGTCCTTTTATAAAAAAAACGAACCCCCTTTACAAAAAAAGTTGCTTATGTTGTTTGAACTGCGAACCAGTAATCATGAACCTTCAAACCTGTGGAATCCTGTGGCCTACACCTCATCACCTCTTTCCAGACCCCTTACACAGCCTTCTGATGCAGCATCACAAGCCTTCGTCAGTACGGATATTGCCCTGCCAGAGTACCTCCTTGTATTGTGTTTGCTAGGCATGCTGCCATTAAGCTTGCCTTTCAGGAGATCTCCTACCTCCTTCCCGGAGAGACCCCCAGCCCAGCAGTGCCCTGAGCGGAGGGTCTCAAGACTCAGTACAATGATTCAGCTGAGAACAGCCTCAACCTTGAGAAGAGGCAAGTCAAGGTGCAGTTGGGTATGTGCTTTTCAGTGTTGCAGCTTCAGGTTGCATTCAGGCGCTTGAGAGATTATCCAGAGCTCTTGAATCTTGTAGCGCGCAGATCTGAAAACTGAGGACATTCTGTCCGATGCAGACCCTGCAAGAGAATAGTTGCAAGAGGCGAAGTATTCCAACTTTGAATCCGCCGCTAGCATCCCAGCAAAGGAGTCTAGGACGAGCGGAAGTTTGGGTGGGCGGAAAACACTCCCGAATCGTGCACCCCTGATCAGGATTAGCAGGCACAAGCCGGAAGGAAGGCTTTCTCCCACGGCTATAGTTCGGGCACCAATCAGTCCTGGAAGTTGCCGCGCTCTGTTTTGGACAAAGGCCCTTCCATCAGCGATAGTGTCCCTCCTTAGCTTCTAAAACATGCCCCCGGACGTACCCCCAAAGAAACATACTCGTGCAGCATGGCTGACTGTGGCCGGTAGCCCGTTTCCCCCAAGCCTACATGCATCATGTTACCTCGAGCCTTGAACTATACATTGCCTTTTGTTTCAGCCTACATCAATGATTTGTTTTCCCAGCTGTTGTAGTTGTTGCTCTGGAAATGGTTCCCCAGGCCTACAAGGCAGCAACAGAAGATGCAGGCAGCCATGTGGTTCAGCACTGACTGATAGTAGTTGTACTAGCAGCCAACAGTAGTATTGGTGATAATGGAAATCTGTTCAACTTAAATGTTGGGTTTCTACGCATATGGTTCTAGTTATCCTCGTTGGGTGCGTTTTGGGCATGCTTCTCAGGGCTTCTGAGTTTGGGGTTTGTCGTTTCATCAGTTCAGGCGGCGTGCCGATGATGCGCATGGACAGGACGTCACAGCAAGCAATGGACATGCAATTCACAAGAGACCCATGCAGAGGGCATGACTTACCACAAGTTGGAAGGCTTTCAGCATCTACTGGGACAACTTCAACGCAAGAGAAGGAATTGACGAAACGAACCGCATCCACAAAAGGATTATTTCAGTTTGTCTATTCACGTTCAGTCTGGTTAGATGCAGAACCTTTACAGTTATGTAACCATGCAAAGTTGTGGCTCGATCGCACAAGCTTTGAACGAAGCCTGACGCATATGTCAAGAGCCAAGTGTATGGATCTAAGCCCTAAGAGGGATCTTTCAAAGCTGATGTCTCTCTTTTTGTTTGCGTCATCGTGTTTTTCGTTTCCTACATTGTCGTGTTACAAATAAGGAGATCAATGCATACCAAACCATCGTTGAACTGCATGCTGCGAAGCCATTCAGCCATGGTGTGCAGACCAAACGCACGGATCTTTACGGCAATGCTTGCAATAGCAGCCTGCTTTGAAAAGCACATCATGTTCGAATTTATGGATTTGCATGACATTTTTTGGCACCTTGCTATCACACAATGTTTGACGAGGGTTTTCTTCCAGGTGTCATGCACGACCTCCATAGATGAAATGGTGGCAAGCGCGTGCTTGCAGGGTGGGGCATGCGTTGTGAGGATCATGTGTCATGTGATACAGATTGTTTTCATTTGCCTATGCAACATGTTTATTACCCCAGCCTGTTTTGGCGTCAGAGCCTCTGATTCTGTTGGTTTGACAACCCGACTTCTCCTGGATGGCTCTTTCTGGACATGGTTTGTGCTTTCTGGCCACTCAGAGTGCAGTGGGCGCTTTATGCTCTTCGCAGTCTGAGCGTGAACTGACTGGGTACACGCGGCGGTTTGTCTGCCATGTTGCTCCAGCAATCTGCCGAGGTGGTGAGGCTTGTTGATCAGCTCCTAGAGCTGCATGAAGATGTGGGTACGGAGTGGGAGGATTGCATGGGGCATGACCATTCGGGGGCGTGGGTTGGACCAAACTTCACAGATCCTGGAGGGACTGTCAAGAACTCCTGGACAAAAGCCAGCAGGCTGTTTATCGAAGGTATGTAGAGGATCGGCAGAACTACGTCCTGATTTTGGTGAACAAGCACCTGGTCTCAGAGGCACAGCGCAGCCTCGACAAATCGGTGCTTTACCAGTATGAGCTGCCTGCATTAAGGATCTTGAAGAATGCCGACTTCAAGACAACATGGCTTCCACCGATCATTCATATTGATATGCGTGGGACTTGCAAAGTTTTTAGGACCAAGGTCCTTGGTCAAACGCACGACAGCGTAGTGTGTCCGAATTGCACATAGCTCTGTAAGTTGGACAACCAGTTGGGGAAGACAGTATTATAGCAGAGCGAAACATCATGGCCACAAGTCAGCTGCTGCAAAGTCCAGGGTATGGCAGCATCGGAAGACCAAACGAGGGAACAGGAACGGCAAACGGTGATGAAGAGAGGCAGTGCATGCCTCCCCAGCGAGTGATCGAGGCTGCAGTCCATCTACGTTTAACCTGGGGCATATGCTGCTGTTCAAAACAACGTGTTCTGAGATCTTGGGAGGTTTCCATGAATGCCTCCGTCTGTCTCTCTCCATCCATCCGAAAGCACATCGCTGCTGATCTGCGAGCGATTGTTGCTTCTGGGAGATACGGGTCCTGGTTCCTGCGAAAACCAAAATCTACGGGCAAGCAGCTTGAGCGTGTACTGCGGTGTTGGTATGGGATTGTTCGGCTTCCATGTCTCCAGAGTGCTTTCAAGGAGTGGCTACCTCTTGCGATGTATTTCCCTCATGCGATGCATGCTAAGCTCAGCATTGCCTTCAAAGTGAAGGGAGCTTTGCACTCTACAGCCAAGGCAGTCCTTCTGTGGGATTTGCATGGGGACTCTTTGAGAAGAGGCCTGGCGCTGTCACTGTGGCCGCGATCTCGAGCAAATGAAACTCTCGAGGGTGTGGGACTGTTACTTAAAGGTTAATGTTTCCGCTTGAGTCTCTGTGCAACTTGCTGTACTGTAATGTATTCGCCAGATGCTTCTCTCTGGATGGCGGGCTCTGGTAGGATGTTGGGGACAATGCGCTGCTTTGCGACTACAATTACATAACTACAGAGTACTACCACCAGGACAGCTTCTCTTTCTGTCCCCCTTCTATCCTGTGTCAGGGGTGAACAAAATTTGCCGGCAAGTTCTGCTGGCTTCGTTCACCAACTGGAGCAAGCAGCCGTCATACCACTACAGCACCATCCGGGATGCCAGCACAAGTACATGGTATTCTTGTGGCCAAGTGATCAGCGAATCCTGAGAAGCCCAGCGCCTTGTGAGGAGCGCGAGGGGGCAGCTGCTGTGCTGCCTTCAGCGTGCCACAAGGCCCGGGCCAGCTGCAATGTGAGGGAAGGTCCGCGTTCTTTCAGGATCTCTCAGGGGTTGCGGATTCGGGATTTGAGGGGGTTTGGGCTTAAGGTGCACGCCTTTGAATGCTGGTTTGAGAGCACTCAGAATTTCAGCGCAAAAAAGATAATGGCTGTGATGCTGTGCAGACTTGAGCACTCTTGCAAAATCTCCACAGTGCTATGAGGTGGCAAACCTGCTTACATTGTTCATGCTGACGTCCAGATCATGCTTCATGCTCATCCCGAAGACCTGTCACTCAGATGGCCCCTGCAGACCCACAGCACACGTTGGGGAGTGGCTGTGATTGACAAAGGCCCAGGGACTCCGGACATGCAACGTCGCCGAGCGCTTCGTCTCCCTAAGGGCAGCGTAGAGGCCGCAGTTATAAGAAGTGTGCCGGAGTTACATGACGGCGGGCCCAAGGTTCGATCGTGACTATAGTCACTGTAGTCGATGCATCAACCCAAAAAGTGCATGGCTGCTCACAGCTAGTCATGTTCGTTAGGCAAAGACGGTTTGGCTCTGAGCTGAGAACTTCTGAATGTGTGGACGTACTGCATGAGCAAAGCATGAGGCTTAGGAACTCTGTTATAGAAGCTCAGGGGAGAACAGTTCTTCTACAACCCGGGCTAATGGCAGATTCTGCTGAGCAAGTGTTAGGCAATTGCACATTTGGATCGGGCTGTGCGTTTGAGGAGGGTTCATCCCATGTCTCACATAGTCAAGGGAACCGTGAGCTAGACTGCACTGCGACATTTCTACATCTCCAGCCCCAACAACCTGTGACTGCCAAGAGACCCCTCCCCGTGTCCTTGTCAAGCAAGTGGACTCTACTGACTCCAACTTGGGTTTAATTCTGTTTCGTCGACGGTCCAAGCAGTACTTATTCAAGTGTATTCAGGCTGGAGCTTGTGGAATCTGGAAACCGATTTTCCAGGCAGAACGGAATTCACAGAGCAGTGAACGCAGACCTTGAAAGACTCAGACTGTTGTCAACCCGGCTATGGTTCCCGTTCTGGAAGCTCCCATGGCGCAATTAAAGTTTCTTCTGGTTGAAATTTCTGAAAATGGTCAGTCCGCAAACCATTGTGTTATGGGGGAAGGGTTAACTGACAACTAGTAGGGATTCAGCAGCCATGTTGAGTCTTCGGGGCTGGTTTTGGGCCTTTCAACTGTTCTGCAGGCTGATGCGCTCAGCGACGCGGACTCGCCTGTTTCCTTGCCCCTTGATGCCGAAGGCTGCCTTGAACTTCAGGGTTCGACGTGGGCAGCCTTTGCAAGGAGTGTACTTCTGAGGCATCGCTTCTATCAGGAGCATTTTTGCTGTTTGTAGCTCCTAGCTGCCAGTGTTTGCATGGGAGGTGCTGGAGTCATGGTCTTGCCAGTCTTTGGAGTTTCCAGATCACTTGGATATACTCTTGTCCGAGTACTGGGTTATGATTCAGAATATTTATAGATGGTGCATAAAGAAACACTTTTCCAACCGGCACAACTCCTTAAGCCTTTTTTGTGCGCAAGGCTTTAGGTCGGCTCTTCAATCACCTCTGATTGCAAATGTGCTAACCGTAACCACTCATACCAGGCCATGCTTAGAGGCCTTTGGATTGCATATTACGAGGTCCGTGTTTTCCAAAGACCTGACCCGCAAGTGCAAGTTGTGGTTCAGCACCCTGCGCCATTGCAAAGTTTCGAAGGCATGCAACTCATGACAGCCGAAGGTGCATTTAGCATTGACTCCGTTTGGAGGCTCCAGTTTCACGGCAGTGTTCTTCTTGACCTGTCTCGCGTGGCTCTACATTGGCAAGTATCTGCCGCTGGGCGTGCCAGGACAGCTCCCCTTCATAACCCCATCCGCTCTATTTGATCTCATGTGGCGGCTTCAGGTAGGAACACCTGATTGCAACCTTGCCCTCAATGTGGTACAGCTTCTCTGAAACGTTTGTGCATCCAAGGCAGGATTCCCAATAGGAACTAACAGCGAGCTGAGTGTGTTGGGACTGACGACTTTGCCCATTCTAGTTGATGAGCGCATTTTTCCTCTTCCCCTCTCAGTTCTTCCTCAAGTTTCCGACATGCCATGGTTCGGCCACAGCAACAACGTTGTAATGGTAGATTGGCTGATGAATGGTCATCTGAGGTATGAGTGTGTGTACCTTACAGGTGGCATCAACGTCGTTGGAGGCTTCTGTGCTTGGGACACGAGGTGGTGGCTGGAGGACCCAATTCCAAATTCCTACAGAAAGATCCTCAAAGCTTGACAGCCAATGTAGAACCTACAAAGGCCAGAAAGCATGCATGTCGCCAGGAATTGGACGGATGCCACCACAGCTTCCTTTATGGACCCCAAAGCTTCAACTCAATGAGCCCTTATAGCCTGGGCTTTAGTCCAACATGTTTTTGAGTGCTTGGAGGACATGCTTCGGAACCTTTGAGGACAAAGATCCCAAGCAACAACAGTCTGTTCTGTATCGTACTGTTGCTTGTATCATATTTTTTCCCTTCCTACTTACGGTTAGGTTTCATGTAGAGGGTGGAATTATTGCTCGTCCCATTGCCAGACCAGTGCGGAGGTTGGTGATGCCCTTGCGTGCAAGTTCTTGAGTCCCGAGCATTTGTTTCGAGCGTCTGCTCTTCTGAAGCGGTTTCTTATCAGCTTCGTCCGATTCAATCACAGATGATCATATTCGCTTGACTCTGCAAAAATTGGTGGATATTTTCAGAAAAATCAAACAAATGAAAGCAAAAGAAGAAACTGACCTCCAAAAGGCAAACGACAAGAACCATGAACCGTTGGCAAAAGCCCATGAGCGACAATGGTCTTGGTCAGTTTTTCGGTTTGACCTTTATGTTACTTTGAATTGTTGCTGACCCCTAGCTTGTGATGCCCAATGGTTCCACCTGTACGTGCTTCTCGGGCCTGCAATATGAATACCTGTGGTATTTATGGCTAGCAACAGAGAACATCGACTCTCAAGTCAAGGGTGGGCATTGAGTTCCTTGTAGTGCTTTCGGTGGTCGGACTGTTTGAACCTCATAAGAATTTTTGGGTGTGGCACAAGCAAGGCTGCAGCCACCAATCAAACCATGCATGGACGCCAGCAAGCAAACCATGCATGGACGCAAGCGCGCACATGGTCATACACTCTCTCTCACGCACTCAGTCTACATTTCCACCATTGCTACCTTTTCTAGTAGTTCTACTTGTCCATGCTAGTGGGGCAGGACGTGTCTTTTGGCTGAGACCGGTCTCCAGCTTCAACAGTGGGTTTAGCTATGTTGGAATCCGAGGATCCTGCTGAGCAGCAACGACCAGCACCCGCAAGTCATCCCTGGACAACCGTGTCCCGTGCTTCGCGATGAACATGCTTTTTATTGGTGGAGATATGAGACGCTCTGTTGAAACAACCTGCCTCACAATTACTGATGAGGTTTTGCATGTACGAGGCTTCTGGACCGAGGTCACCATGGCACCTGGTCTCCGCTTGTACTCGAGCTCCAGATTTGCGGAGCATGTGGCCAAACCAAGATTGTTTCACATTGCCCGCTGAAGATTGCAGCGGTCAAGGTTGGAGCCAAGAAGACTAGGAATGGTGACAAATGCATACAAATGCTGTATGGCACTCGTCAGGTTGGCAGCTCATGGCTCAAGATATAAGCTTCATGGACACGAATATGGCTTTTGATCATCCCTCATTTTGCAAGTCATTTTGACTTCTTTTGTTGCAGGGCAGGTGTGCGACCAGATCTTTATCATAGACCCCTGCAGACTGAGGCCCGAAACTTGGCCATGTAGACTGATGTAAGCTGACTCGAAGGAAGATGACGTGCCCAGCTGTATTGCCAAACACAAGCAGTATCGCAAGCACGAAAACGTGCTTGACCGCCCATGTAGGTCATGCTACTCTCCGGTTTGCTGCTGTTGCTTCATGAGTTTGATTGGCTAGTCTCTTCCCTGACTACTGGTTTCCCCAGCGCAAGAGCGCAAACTCCTGCACCCGAACTATGTTGATCATTGCAGTGTTCATTTGTCTTCGGCCTTTCAGCTTCTGCTCCTGAAGCTGAGTTGAGCTATTGAGTTCAATAACAAAGTATAGACAACTTTCTTCAGTCTGGGCCCCCAATGGGGTCAAAATCATCCGTACTTGCCGGCATGTAAAACATATTCACGGCAATGACAGCTCCTCTTGGTGGCAAGTACATCCCCCGAAGAGGAACTCGTGGCTACCCGGCGAAACATGGGGACGCCTAAGTTTCAAAGGTGTTTTGATGTGATTGAACCCTTCAACCAGGCTGAGGTCTAGACGGAGCGCAGCTAGGGCTTGAGTTGGAAAGTAAGAGGTAGTTGAGCGTCACCTAGTTCAGGAATGAAAGCCTCTTCTTACTTGCACAGTCGCAATTCAAGCTCCTCCCGCTGGCATTTCCGACCCGAATTATTTATGAAAAACATCCTGGACGGTTAGCGCTCGCGGAAGTATTTCTGGTAGCATCCGCAGGGAACGGAAGCTTGATGCGCTTCGCGCCTGTGGCCATCTTCTACCACGCGGCCCCCATGGAGGAGGCACCTGATTCAAATGTTCTTTTTCTCGAGATTTTTAGCTGTTCCCCTTTCAGACGTTTACCCCGCACGGCATGCGGGCTCTTATTCAGGCAGATGCAGGACTGCACCGTTCCCCACTAGATTTATCCCTTTTGGCGACTCGACGAAATACAGTAGGTGATTTGCAAAGGCAGAAGCCCTCCTGGAGGATCCATCCTTGAGGGAGACTGCTTTGTTGACCGGATACTGATGCCCCATTGATTTTAGCCAGCCTGTCATGGAACTGTCAGCATTCTGAGCAAAGCCCACATCATCGCCTGCCATTATCCAAGCAGTCGAATGTCATGAGAACGATGGCCATCTTCAGACCTGACCTACGGGTGGGTGAAAGCGCTCGATTGCGCAGACCGTCAGCAACAACATCATCATCTTCAGACCTGACCTAATCCCAATCAGCTTCTGGACCACCAATCTCAGACTGCAGGTCCTGGACTTTGCCCGCTGGAGCCGCAGCTAGCAGTGTCTTGCATCAGGCTAGGAGATCTGGATCTGGACTTCTCTTGATATGTGGCGTTGTTTGGGTTGTGATTGCATACGCCAGATCTTCAGGCAATAAGGCCTGTGTAGGATGTCACGCCTGCCCTGGTAACACATTCTGGTGCAAGGTTCCGCACGCTCACACGAGTCTCAGCAGGAACAAACTGGCATGCAGGAAAGATCTTATTGCCGGACCAACCTTTGCGCTGAGTGAGGGTGGAGTCTCAAACTCCCAGCAGCACATCTTTGCTCCGGAATGGACTTCCCACTCCTCTATGGGTGGCCTTACACCTTACGTAGCTTGGACATACCAGCTGCACCTTCAGTGCCAGACGGCTTGATCAGCAAGGATTCTTCTCAAGAGTTTGTTTGTTTTTAGGGTCTCTTCTAAAATTGCACAAATTTGGAGGGCTAAGAGTCTAAGAGAATCTAAGACAGACCTCGATTTGGCAACTGCTCAAAGGCTAGCCATACTGAATCGTTCCAATCTTGTGAGTGTATGGGAACTTGAGAAGCGTGTCAAAATTGAGAAGCGTGACAAAACGCCTGCCGTGCAGGTCCGTCAGAAGTTTTAGATCGGAGTGGGGCATCAGCTTGCGCATAATTCATGGTCATCCTGAGGCCAGTCTTCCTACACCACCCACCCTGGCATCATTGCTGCGGAGGTATGCTACATGGGAAAGGGGATGGAAGGAATCACACCATGTCTATCTCACATCCAAGTAGTAGTTTCGTATACACCAAAGTAGTAGATCTTTGCTTTTGGTACCCTGAGGCCTGATTGGATTTCCAAAACGCCAATTAAGTTGAAGAATGCTGCGAGTGACGAGTTCCAGCAAGCAAGCCTGAGCTGTCTTAAAGGGGCGTTTGGCTCACTCGGACTGTTTGTGAAGTTCAACTATGCATGTGAAACCTGTTGTAGAATGGACTGCCTTGGAAGCTGGTATGTAGATCCAAGCATTTCCGAGCTTGTGGTGTCGCACCTTGATGTGGCTAAATATGTTGTTTTGAAGGGCTTCTCTTTTTCAGCAGCCATCTGTGAGTCTCTGACTGTACCCGGCCAACAGCAAGCTGGCTTGCCGGAGGTGTGGACATTTCTTGCTTCCACCATCAGAAAATGTGGGAATCTAGAGTGCGCAAACAGGTCTCAATTCTTAACTCAAAATACAGCAGAGCTGTGTCTTCCGATTGGAACTACCTGATTTATGGCTCCGATACTTCACCAACACGTCTGCCTCTTATTCAAAGCTTTTCGCGGACATATCAAGGGTGTTGCTTGGATCTTCCATCAGAACCAAAACAATTCATTCCTGCACTGCATCTCCAGTGCCGGTGCAAGCAGACTCTAAGAGCACACGCATACCCAGACGGGCAACATCTTGATGAGGCGTGCTCCCTTTTGGCATTTCTCATCATCCGCGCTTTAAAGCGCCAGGCGGCTCGTTTGATGTTTTGGCTTGGGCACTTGCAGGAACCGAGACACCTTCACCTTGCAATGGTACAAAGAGGTAATGCAGGGTATAGAGCTGCTAACCAGTTGCATGAAATGGGCTCGCAGCATCTGCAACACAATCCCGCTTCCTTTCAGATGGCCTACGACTTCGCAACTTTGGGCTTATCCCAAGTACGTAAAAATTACTGGAAAGCGGGCATGCTTGAACGCGCACTTGAGCCTGACTCCGTGGCACGGCAGGGTGAGGAGAACCAAATGACGGCCAAGGACTTCTTGGACAAGGCCCAAGTCAACTAAGAATACTAAGAGCTGTGGGGCCTATGGAGCCCAGGAAGCTGTCTGTGCGAGATTCACTCCCTGCAAGTTGGATTTTGGAAATTCAGAAGAAGTGTTGTTGCTCGGCTCTGCAGCAGGAACAACATGACACTTTTCAGGTAGCCCAAATTATGGTCTATCTTCTAGCTGATAGGGAGCTTCTAAGGGACAGTATGGGAATGCATGCAGATTTTAAGATGCTTTGTCTTGTTGAGGTGACTGCCGAGTACCTGAGAGTCTCGGGCCTTGAGAACAAGTCTGGCTGGGGTCGTGGCCCTGATCCGATCGTGGTCCCTTTTGGATTATCACGATTTCATAAAGGCCTTGGCACTTTGTCATGTGTCATCGACCCCATTTTTTGACATTGTTACCTCACAGGTGATTGGTATACGAATCAAGACTGTGCTTTTTCTAAGGGCATGTTTTGGGCTTTGGTCTTAGGTTTGCCCATGCTAATGCGGACCTGCGACTGCAGGCAGCGCATGCAGTGTTGTTTTCTCGGTCAGAGTGATCCATGTTCCAGGCTTAAACGCACTTTCCCAGCTTGTGTTATGATTTTCCGCACGGCATCCAGCAACGGGCATGGTGCGGCCCCGATGATCTCTTCTTCGTCCGGCTGCGTCTGTAGCGTTAAAAGCCGTCGTGCATTTTTTGTGAAACCACTCATGGCGAAGCAGTCAATCTGGCAATGCTGTCCTTGGACAGTTCAGTTTCAGAGAGGTCAAGCGCGCTGTTCAGCATCTGACCATTCATCTGCGTCCTCGCATTGTAGTCAGCCTGAAGCTAGGTACCATTCCACAGTGGCATGGCTCATGCTGGTCATCCAGCTTAGGGACTTTTTGCACGCCAAGAGCGCCTGGTACATCTAAGCCGATGAGCGTCTCAAATCCTTTGAGGCTTTGACCAGATGAATTGGCCGGGAGCCTCTGAAGGATCCCAGTTTTGGGTTCAGTGTTGGTCGCTCTTGAGGTTGGTGAAATTCAGGCCTTGGATTTCCGCGCAGCATGACGTGATCATTGAAGATCCAGGTACTGGACAAAACGTTACATCATTGCAAATGCTGTGCCCCGAGCGTGTCAGAACTGCAAAGCGAGTCTTTGAATGCTTAGTTGGCTGGCTGGGGCGAGGTCTGGGCTTCAGGGGAGCGTTAGGTTTGTGCTAGAAAACGTCCGTCTTTAGTTCCTTGTTGGGAGGAGCAAAAAACCTCAGCCCGAGGCCAATGCTAGGTGTGCAGTGCATCAAGACTCCGAAAGCCTTTCGGCTGGGGCTAGGGCTGATGCAAAAACTTACAGCTTAGAATCTTTTCATCCGAATGGTTCCAGAAGAGGATATTCACACACCCAACTCTCTGGTGCGTCCATTGCATGGTAACTTCTTCAGGACTTTTGCAGTAATGTTTGACCTGCTTTGGAGTACAGGAGCGAATGTCTAAGGCAGCCCCCATCTTCGTCAACGTTTTGAGGGACTGAAGGGTGGAAAATTTCAGGAATGGCTTTTGAGCTTCGGGTGACCAGGCTGGTCCGATCAAAGCCGATCCACGCCACGGAGAGGAGTGTCTTGGACTTGCAAAACTCTGCGGTTTCAATGGTTCGTCGTACCTAGCAGCACCTAGCACCCATGTAGAGCTCATGCCAGCCAAAAGTGAATCCTAATCCTGTGAAGTCAAGCTTTTGGTTTTCCGGGTCTTCATCATCATCAGCTTGCTCAGGTGCAGTGTAGTTGCACGGCCATGGAGGGGTTTCAGAAGAAGGCGTTCTGGCGTTGTGCATGTCCTGCGGGATGAAATCTTGCACCACCCTACACTACATTGCTTTGGGATTCGCAAGAATTCCTCCATCCACAGAGACTGAATCTGAAGTCAAAGGACAGGCAGGCGCGTCTGAGACTGTGCTCAAGGAGCCGCAAAGCTTCTTTAAAACACTCCGAGCCTGAAACCTCCTAGCCATTCTCTCCAAACTTCTGAGGCTGGGATTGGCGAAGTCCAAATTTGGACATTGCAGGAACCCTCCGGGCCGCAACCTTTTCTTCCATTTCCGTCCCGGTGGTCTAAGTAAGGATCAAGGTTTGTTCGAGGTTTGTTTCGGATTTCGGGTTACTGATGGTCGGGCTTGAGGATTTAGGGTGTTGGTTGCGTTTAGTGAAGCTTGTCGATAAGTTCGGGCGTCGGTTGAGAGTTCTGGATTTGGGGTTTAATAATGGTGCAGTGCTTAGGGTGGGTAGGTCGCGGGATTAGGATTTGGGTTAACAAACGTTTAGGCTGTGGGTTTGGTTCCAGACAGGCTTGTGTTTGGGCACAGGATTTTCGCATTTTTTGTTGAGAATTTCGGTTTAGGGCGGGCTTAGGGCCTTTTGGGCCTGCAACTGCATTGAACATGGACAGTGTGCGCTTGACATGGCCATGGGTGATCTGCTTTCATTTTCAAGACTCCGTGTGAAGGTTTCGCTTCGGCGTCTGCAGTGCGCGCTCGACACGGAAATGCAATGGAAAAGGCTTTTGTCATCATTTGGTTGCATTTGGGCTCCGTGTGTGACTTTTCCTATGCACATCCAAAGCACAGGACTCGCAGGGGCCAGTTGCAGAACGGGACTCACAGTCGCCAGTTCAGACGCATCAGTTGCATAATGCGAAACTCTCATCCTCACACACATGAGCTAGACCTGGTGGATTCTCGCGCCAACCATCTACTGCTTCACGCTCAGGCGCGAGGGCGCACTTACAACGGATACCCAGTGCTTATGCCTCAGCTTTTGAGCTTGCCTTTGAGGGGTTTTGATGGTAGCTCAGGAATTGGTCAAATTCCCTTTCCACCACTTTCACGAGGATCGCTTGCTTCCTTGACGAGGAGTAGCCCCTAGCCTGCTAAGGTAAGCAAAATGTACTGGTATTCGCAGCTTGTGTCCAAGATCTTGAGGAGATGCTTGCCTGTGCATGCTATTTCGAACAGAATCCCAGTCCATTTCCTGCTTCTGGAGTTTTGCCTGTACCTTTGCTGATGTTGGGATGCCGCAGGGCAAATAGAGTCTCAACTCTGGGACCCGCACGGTTTGCCCCGAATTGCAACAGTCATGCAGAATCATCAGAGACAGAGCTGCGCAGAAATCTTGCTGATGTGGAAGGAGTGGGTACTCGGCTTTCGGCTTGTACTCCACACAGTCTCATAGCTACAAATTCCATATACAATAAGTTCTTTCCACTTCAGCATCCTAAGCCGTATTCGCCAGCACGTCGCAAATCTTGCAGTGTCCAAGCTGTTTTATCCGGGGCGATCATGCCCCTCAGCCCCAAGCAAACCCAATAGGACGTCTACCAACGACTGAAATCCCTCGGTCAAGGTCTGCAGGGTACTTTGGTTCCTACTCGTTAGATGGCATGGCCTTAGCGCTGTGGTCTGTCCGCTTCTCAGACTGGGCTTGAGATGGCTGAGATCGTAAACTTGCAGAAATTGTGTCTTGCAAGGAAACTGCAAACTCTGCTGAGGATCTCGCAATAGAGTGGTCCAAGTCTGGAAATGTCCATGCGCCTCATGTGGTCAAAATGTATATTATGATGAATCAATAAATGAGGGACCTAGTTCCAGTCAGCGTGCATGAGATTTGTGAACAACGGAAGCAGATTTTTCTTCAACTTTCCGTGATTTGCATGAACATAGAAGGACCTCACCAGCAGCACCAGAAGAGTTCTGGCTCCAACATATCACATCATCAGCGAGGAATTCCATCATAGTAGTTCTCCCACAACATCAAGCAAAGCCGTTCCTAGATTTGCTCGTTGGCTGTTACAATTTCGACGAAAACTGAATGGTGGAATAGATTCAGACAAGCTCAAAACTCTGTTGCATGCTAAGCGAGTTTATCCAAAACGCCAGATACCGATTTCTCAAAAGCCAGACGATGCACTAAGGCTGTGTGAGAGGTGTGCTGGGATTTTCTGTTACCATCTTCCAAGGTCTACCACACTTCCTCCTTTAACGAAGCCGTGGTCAAGTCTGTGAACTTGCTTGGGGACGCGGTGCGGGCCTCGACCTGACATAGGTTCACAGCTGCGCGGGATACAATAAATCCCATTGGTGGGTTGTTGCAAAAGTCTCCTGACCACAGAGAATTCCGAGATCATGGTATGCTGTACCCCAACACTCCGTTCCAATTATTTCGTTTCCCGGTTTGGAGATCCGAGATCTAGGATGCAAGATCGAGAGCTTGAGCTCAAGGTTTGAACCTGCGGACACTCATGACAGGTGTGAGTTTGGGGTTTGGAGTCAGCTTCAAATTTACTCTTGACTCCACAAGGACAAATCGCAGTTCTGCGGCTTTTGTGACTGAGGGTTACCAGTCAGTAGAGGTCCGTTTGATTTGGCCTGGGGTCCTTCGTTGAAATAGGATTTTCATTGCAGATCTGGCTTGATAGAATTCAATTTACTTTTATCGTCTCGTGAGGGTGTTTGAGCATATGTTCCTCTGACAACTCGTTGCAAACCCCGCCACCTGTCTTGCACACCCTTGTGGCCGGAAGTTGTACTGTTTTCAACGTACGGCAGACCGGTCCCATGGTGGCTGTCGCAAGACCATGCAAAACCAGGACAGCCATGGTTCCATTACCGGCCAGTTAGCCGGTGCGTTGCGGCCTCAGCTTGGTCATTCCTGGAATACATTTTTGGACACCCCAGAGTTCAGCTGGCCATCCAGGTCGCTCCAGTATTCCCATCTGCCATCCAACATCACACCCTCCTGCGGATTTTTGCAGTGTCCGAAAAGTACCTGGCTAGCCAATCATTAGAGGAACTGTCCTTGAAATTGGGATAGGTCCCTGTCTCCAGTTCGGCTAATCAAACTGCCTCCTCGGTGGAAGTAGCTGCGCTGAGAGACGCTCGTTGGAGCCAAAGAACCTCTCGATATCCGTATTGCTGTAATAGCCAGCCCTTCCATGGGTTTTCTTTAGAGCAGATGGGCATCTTCAAGATCCAGCCGAGGTTTTACGGCCTATCCAGCATTGACAAGCGATTCGTGGATTGGGTCAAGAAATGGGAGTAAGCCTCAGCTTTCCACCATGCGGTTTTGGGACTTTGGGGGTTCCAGGCTCTATGCGCTCGTAGCTCCATTTAGCTCCAGGGTGTACTGTAAGCGAGTGGGATGCGCGGGCTAAATCTTGAGAGCAGCCATCTTGGTGGAATTCGCTGTGGCACAAGCTTGCTATTGTTTGAGCCAGACTCCAGCTAGTAGCGGGTGTTCCTCTTTTAGGCTACGCTGCAACCCTGTCTTATCGGACAAAGTCAGAATCCCTGTAGTTGCTTGGACAAATTGGGCTCAGCCAGCTCGCTTCAATTTCGGGACCATAGCCAGTTCAGCAAGATTCCATGACAAAAGGAACTACTTAAGGAAGAGAGCAGGTTGGGCTCGTGTTTTCATCTGCTAGCAGGAGAGAAGTTTTGTGACATGGTCCCAGGTGCCGGAACCACCGGTTCATTTTTGGGCGTTTGTTAAGGGGATCTCGTTTTGGGGTCGCAGATCTGGACCCTTCTTAGTTTATGCTCAGCATTCATGCATCCTAGTCCTAGTCTTTCGGTATTGGGAGCAGGTGAAGTCCAGACCTTCGAAAGCAAGAACATCCTCACGTAGAACCTTGCCTGATGGCAGAACATCGGAGTAAGGCGGCCATATGTGGGCTCCTTGCGAAATGTAGCTTCGTTTCCCACCAGAAGCGATTGCAGGATTCTGGGAAGTTAAGAAATACGTAACAAACACTTGTCAATCAGGCCCGGTCATGCCTGGGTCTTGCAGCTGTGCCGAAAAACGTCCAACTGCGTCAGCATCCTTTTCCTGAGGATGACTACGAGTTTGCAGCCCGTGGGGTCCTTTTGGCACATTTAGGCCGCACGGCAGGCTCGGGCGAGGGGATCTTTGCGGCTTCAAGAGAATTGCAGGGTTTCTTTGAAGGGTACTCCTCGAGCTGCACGTTGCATTCAAAGCCTCATGCTGCCAAACAACGGTGCTGCAGCAAAATGAGAGCAGCAGTCTGTTGTGGGCCAACGTTTTCCTACACTTATCTTCCCAAGTGCAGCAAGGTATCACTGTCTACCTAGACTTGAAGAAGCTTCAGGCTTCAGAGCAGTCAGAGCAGAAATATACAAAGAGCAGCGGCTTCGCGTGAAGAGCGGCCTGCGCAGGCCTCATCACTTCGATTTGAGGCTTGTCAAAGTGCGTCGCTTTGCAGGGTGGTCAGCGGGGCTAGAAGTTATCCAACTTGCCAGAAGATTTGAGATCTCGTCGGGCTAATGCACACGCACATGAACACTCGCTGACCGAGTCCCAGAAGAAGACGTGGGATGTCTGCTAATGTAAGGAGATTGCGTAACAGTTTGGGGCCCCCCTTCCAAAGTGTCCGATAGATCAAACTACTTTTCGTCTTACGGTTGCTTTCTGGGATATTGCCAGGGTCCGATAGCAAGAAGTTACATTACTTTGTTGCAGCAGCTTTAGCTTTGAGAGTGCCTGCCAGCCCCAGCAGTGCGGTATCACAGGCTCCTGCCCTGTGCGATGACCCTGGACAAGGTATTACAAGCATACCTGCACATGTTGCAAGCTTCGTCACGGTTGTCTACCCAAGTCATCTCATCTCAGGCACGGGTTTGTTCAAATCATCCCCTGAGTCAGAGCCCTCAATTCGAACCCCATGCATCTACTTGTGCTAACCTGCGCTAGCTTCCTATGGCATCCTATGCCTATCATCGCTCGGTACCATCCTTGAATTAAGTCAGAGTGCTTCAAGCCGAGGTTGCCCTGCACAGCCCAGAGCGCTGTGTGGAAAAGACTTCGTGGTGCCTAGTAGGGAATAGTCAAGGATGGGATCCCTGTAGCATCATTTCAATCACCTTCAGGGAGAAGGGCTGCAACAATTGCATGGAGATTCTATCGGGGTAGAGGCGCGTGAGTAGCATGCAAGGTGATCCAGCAGAAATCAGGGAAATGAGTAAACATCTAGAGGGTCGCAGAGTATTCATGATTTTGTAGCCAGTCGTGGTGGGAATGCTTTTGAGTCCATGAACTTATAAGAACCTGCGGAAGCTGTTAAGCAGTCAAGTTTGAGCTTGAGCTGCTAGTTGGGAGTCTCTCAGCATCAGTTTCTGCTTGGGGGTGTGGTATTGAGGCCTTGCGGCACATGTCTCCGGAGTTCTTGAGGGGAGAGGACACCTGTGAATAACTCAGATGGCAGGCGGAGGCTTCTGCAAAAGGCTCCCTCGCAGCTTTCGAGCAATACCAATATCTTATCTGCTAAGCTGCTAAATGTGTAGGCCGAGAAGAGTTCGGATGTTGCGGGCTTCTGGATCTTTGGCTTCAGGACGAATGCCCCATGCAATGAACAGACCCTCGCGCTCAGGTATTGATAACTTAGGATTCTAGTCAGGCCTTCAGCAACCAGATGAATTTGACAGTTGTCTTCTGTGCCTGTGCTTTCCGAAGCCAGCCCTGATGCTGGTCACTTTTTCTGCACCACCTGATCCCTGGCTCAGGAAGGGTGAATTTACATTCCGACTACCGCTTTTTCCAACTCAACTAGGGTGAGACTTGAAGCTAGTTAAGGAACGTCATAGCACAGCATCCGACGAAGCACAGTGTGAATCCAAATTCGTGAGGGCTGCTTAGCCAAAGCGTTTCACATCTGCACAGAAGCTGAAACCATGGCTTCGAAGGACGATCAGACGAGCGGGGCCAGTTTGCAGGGGAGGTTAGCTTCTGTAAACGCCAGTGTCAAGCCGCGGCAGCCTCTTATAATTTGCTTCTCATATCAGCAAGTACTTGTAAGCGCTCGAATCTTGTTTGTAACAGGACAAAGATGAGGGCGAATCCGCTACGGATGCCATGGGGCGCAAGATCTGGGACAAAGATGTGGCTGGGCCGCATGGGCCAGTGCAGGGGGTAGCAAGGACTTTGGCAGTGACGTTAAGGTGTGGCTGTGCCTAGAGTGGTGAGTGAGTCACGTACTTGCTACAGCAAAAGATGCAGTGACAATGCAGACGGCGAACAGGGTGTACGTAGCAGCGTAAGCTCAGCACGACAGGCGGGAACAATAAAGTACACATGCCATTACACGAACACGTGCTGCAAACCAGAATGACGGAAAAGGAACGCTCTTCAACGGACCCCGGAAGACACATGCGATGTCAAGTTACACACGCGTATTGTTGTAATTATTTTGCGAACAATGTGCCAACAGTTCTTGCTGCCGCTGCCATCAACGCCCTCACCCACGCTCCTCACTGCCCTCACAACGACCACGAAAACCACCATCCACCACCAACCACCACCACCAACCACCACCAACCACCACCACAACGACCACCACGAGCGCCACCATCACCACCACCGCCACCACGACGACAACCACCACCCAGCCTGAACCTTGCATCATCGCAGACCGCCAGGTTGTAATACAGACTTTGGCCGTCAGTCAGAGAGACTCAGCATCTTGATCAAATCCAACACAGCATCCCAGCAAAGCCAAGCCGCCTGTTTCTCGGACTTGCCAGAGTGCTTGGAGTTAGGCTCAAAGACCTGCAAGCGCCAGGCATTTATCCAGCTTGGTTAGGGCTTTGGGGCCAAAGTCGGGACTTAGTTTAGAGTGTTGTTCAGACGCACTTTTACTTAACTCGCCTAAGTTCTCACAAAATCAACAAAACGGAGTTCAACACTAATTATAGTTGAGGAGTGTTTATTCAACAGAGCCGTAAAAGCTTTTCCAAGATCTCATAGTAACTTAGTAGGATTAGGGGTCTTGCTGCTGCCAGGTCTACCTTGAGAAGGCCAGTGCTGGGCGAGCGCGGCTGTGGTATCCGACTTCTTTCAAGCAATAAGCAAGGTATTCTTTTTACTTGTACCATACGCATCCTTGTGATTGCAGTTCTTGACGTACTGGATCATGGTACAAGGTGGTTGCAGAAAGGGGTCCTTCATGGTCGGTACCATGCTTTGCTTTTGGAATGGTGCCTTTTGCATCAGCATGTCTGCAATCATATCAGAAGCGAGGAGGCCTCTACAGCTGGCGGGCATCCAGCTTCTAGGTCTTAGTTGGTACGGCCTTATGCGTTTTCAGCCGAAGCAGATATCTCCTCACAGATGCTGATTCCGACTTGCAGGCCAAGCAAAACATCATGTTTGGCCCTGAGCGGATTGGGAGAAGGCATCTGCAGGGATCAAGCGAGCGATCGGCTTGAAACCTGTGAATCAGCTTTTGTAGCCTCTGCGCATGTCCGTCTATTCTGAACTGTTGAGAGTGGGTTCGTTGTTGCGGCTTGTTGTATGTTCCCATTTGATCGAGGACCGTACAGTCCCTTGTACATGACAATATCAGCACATGCTGGGGATTCAGGCGGCAGGATGTCTGCTATGGCCTAAGTCCCACATCTTCCTGGTGTCCCCAGCCTCAAAGTCCAGGCGGCAAACCAAGACCTCAGAAATTAACACCCCTTCAGCCTTTAAAAGCCGAATAATCAAGACCTTAATGCGTCAGAGCCGAAGATCCAGGGATATCAAGTACCAGCGGCAAGTTGGCATGAAGTCAACAGCGCGGCCAGCAGAGAATACTGAACAGCTTACTGCTGCTTAAGGGAGAGTGGGGAGCCGAATAGGTACTAACTACTATAGGAGATGATAAGATAGAGATTCTGAAAGGGCTCCACCCAATTTAAAATCTACACCCTGTGATGTTTTTTTCTTCCACTGCCTCACCCCCTCTACCCCTCAAGCACCAGCAAGATCGCACACAATGCCGCCTGCAGTTCATGCAGCCAAGCCCCAGAGAACCTCAGTTTTGAAGCCTTCTGTAGACGCATGCAAGCAAGCTGTCCTCGGGAGGAAAGATCCAGTGATTCCTCTACCTTCCTCTCAGCGAACATATCTGAAGCGCCGGCCTGCGGCTCAGATTGCTGCTGCCGTTGCTGTTCTTGTTGCCTGCAGTGTTGTTTTTCATCATAAGAGCTTCTGGGGGAACCCGCGTCAGGCCTAGACTAGACATTGGGATAGACACCAGTTGCAATGGAGGTGCATTTTCTGAGTGGACTTGCGTAGGGCTTCTATATGCAAAGAGGCTCCTTTGGAGCTGAAGGCCAGAGTGGATGACCGTGTTAAGATACCGCAATGGATATTTTGCGGAGACCCTGAAGCGCCGTTTGTTGGGACAAGGGTATGGCATCGTACATCGACATTCCTGGCAAGCTTGAGATTCAACTGTAGTATGACGCAGCGGTTTCTGAGATGAGATAGCTGATCCCAATCTTGCAAACAAAGCTAGCCACATGTGCCAGGTAAGCCATCGAGTAGTCCAGTCAAATTTCAGGAGAATTAGCTGTAATAAAGACATATCCCAATACCCTACAGCCTGCATCAGGCCTTGACAACAGAGTAGTTGGCACACTTCAACAACCGAAAAAAGTGACGTCACATGTCAACGTCAGCTTTTCTAGCCGAAGCCCCCAATGTTGGGTCCCCCTAAACAGAAGACATTCCTGCAGCCTTGCATGGTTTTTTTGCCCCCCAGCATGCTCCACCCAGAGTCACGCTTAACGCCGAACAGATCCCACCCAACCAAACTATCCCTGGGCAAGGAGTGCAGACTTGGAGCTGGAGAGGAATCTCGGCGGGAGCCTAAGTCCTCAGCATGGACAGGGACCCATAATTTGGAGGTCGAATCTGGAGGTGTGGAGCTGGCATTTACAAGTTGGCGAGGCCTGGATACACGTGAGACGTTCCCGATGTGATCAGGACAAACGCGGGTGGTGACGGCCCACACCATCAAGCCGCTGCAGGGTGGCTATTGGTGCAGCGCCAGAAGCTCGGAGGGGCATCAACCTTTCCGTTCCTTTCCTTCGAACTTTCTTAACAATTGCTGCAACTAGCCTTGTGTACTAAGCGCTGAGCCTTTGCTGGTGATGGTCTCCAACATGAATCGTGCTGTGGTATCCATCCAGGGCTGTTCTGCGCAATCTTTAGCAAGCAGTGGCCGTGCGACCATGTTGCCTTGGTAGATCACGGTCCTTGCCCTCCATTGTTTTTATCATGAGCACATGCCTGGCTAGTTGCGCATCTATCCTTGAAATACCCTGGAAACTTGTAGCTGCTGCTGCTGCTGCGGTTGTTGCCTCTTTTGCTGTTCCTTTGTACGCTTGGTGCTGTCATTGCTCCAGCTTCCTG